AAAGCAACATTCTCAGGAAGGTGGATTTCCCGCAGCCGGACGCGCCTACGATCGTGCAAAAGGCACCCTTTTCCACGTCCAGATTGACCCGCTCCAGAACCGGCAAGCCATCGTAATACTTGGCAACACCCTGAACTGAAAGTTTTTGAATGTTCTTTTCGGTCATAGCGCGTCGCCTCCGACATGATGCCAGCGGAAGGCGCGCCGGGAGAGCAGCAAAAGCAATCGATCGAGCAGAAAGGCAAGCAACGTAATCCAGACCACATACGGAAGAATTACATCCATCGCGAGATAACGCCTGACAAGGAAGATCCGGTACCCAAGTCCGGTTGTGGACGCGATCGCCTCAGCTGAGATCAGGAAGATCCAGGCGGGCACCAGCCCTAGGCGCAAGGCCGTGATCAGTTTTGGCAGAACCTGGGGCAAGACAAGCCGTGTTACCATCTGCCAGACGGATGCACCGAGCGTTTCCGCCTTGATGATCATTTCCCTAGGAATGTCGAGGACGGCTTGTGCAGTCGACCGGATCATCACTGGCGCCGTTCCGATTACGATCAATGCGATTTTTGCAACTTCACCAAGACCGAACGTAATGAACAGGATCGGCAGGATCGTGATCGGCGGGATCAGGGAGAAAGTTGCCAGATACGGGGCCAGAGAGCTGCGGATATGCGGAATGAAACCAATGGCAATGCCGAGCATCAGTGCCAGAAACGCGGACACCGCCATACCCGTTCCAAGTCGCCAGAGACTGTCGAACGTGTCGACCCAGAGAAGCAGGTCTCCGGAACGCCGGTCGGGAACCGCGGCCATGCGCCAGAACGCTTGCCCCATGCTTTCCAGCGAAGGGAGCAACTTGTCAGCCGGGTTATCAAGCCGCCGGTAGTGGCTGGCAACCATGTAGGCAACAATGGTTGCCACAAAGGGGAGCAAGCCAAGAGCCAGTGCGGCCACCCTTGAGGGCTTCCGGTTAATAATGCGCATTTCACTGTCCTGACGGCGTCGATGAACGGGACCCGGCCACGTTCGGCCGGGCCGGCAAGTGCGACTGTTGACCTAGAGGGCGCCGTCAGCGGCCATTTGCATGTAGGTCGGGTCAAAGCGCAGCTTTACATTGGCCTTGTCGCCATACACCGAACCATCCGCAAAGGAGACCCCGACAAACTCTGGGCTCGGTGCACCTTCGCCAAGGATGCCTTTGTCGTAGAGGAATTCGGCAACAAATTTCATGGTTGCCGGCAGTTCCTCAGCACTGGAGAATTCGACTGCATCAGCCGGGGTGTAGAACATTTTTGTCGTCGCCAACTGCGCATCGTAACCAGCAAGGTCGGTTCCAGATGCTTCAGCCATTGCGGTACGAGCGGCAATTCCGGCTTCTGAATCCGTCGCCATGGCCGCCATAAGTTCATACCAGGCACCTACCAGTGCCTTGCCAAAATCCGGGTTGTCTGCAAGCGTTTTGGTATTGACCATCATGACATCAATGATCTCGCCGGGGATCCCGGCACTGTCGAACACCTTGGTTGCATTTGGCTGGGCCTCGATTTCGGAAAGAAGCGGGTTCCAGGTCACGACCGAAGTTACATCCGGTGTCGCGTAGGCAGCAATCATGTCCGCGTCGGATGTGTTTACGACCGTCAGATCCTTTTCGGAAAGTCCGACGGTGTCGAGCGCACGAGCCAGAAGGTAGTGCGATACGGAAAGTTCGACGAGATTGACCGTCTGGCCCTTGATCTCGGCAAGTTCGGTCTTGTCCTTCAGGAGAATGCCGTCATTCCCGTTGGAATAGTCGCCAACGATTAGCGCGGTCGTATCCACACCACCACCAGCGGGGATGGACAGGGCGTCCATGTTTGTCATCGAACACCCGTCATATTCTCCGGCTGTGTACTGGTTGATCGATTCAACATAGTCATTGATTTGAACAATCTCGACGTCGATGTCGTACTTGTCTGCCCACTTCTTCATGATGCCACTATCCTGAAGATAGCCCCAGGGCATCCATCCCACGTAAATGGACCAGCAGACCTTGAAGTCCTTCTTTTCTGCGGCCTGGACTGAAGGGATCGAAAGGGGCAGTGAAAGAGCGGCTGCTAGCAGCGAAACTTTTGCGAGTGATTTCAACATCTGTGCGCGTCTCCTGTCTTCGGCCCGCCGGGAGGAACCTGACGGGCTTGAGTCCTGAGTTTCTTGCGCACGTCCGGGAGCAGGCTCGCGCGCGCGAAACCTCGTGCAGTAGTCTCCCGGGTTTTTGTCCCGCCGTGTCACCGGACTATGTCGACTGGAAGGCCGCTGGATGTCCGGTTTGCACCTCTCGGTCCTTTGTCTTCATCGACCGGATCCCTAGGTGCGCTGCACGCATTCATCAAAGCAAACCAGATGCCAGAATTTTCCGTGAACTTTTTATATAATAAAAACAGGTGGTTAAAAGAAGCTGCAGGTCGGCACGTCTCTGAATTGGTCGTGCCGATACGAGGGTTGAACAAAAATAGGGCAGCGTTGAGCGAAAATCGTTCAATCTTGTGTTCAGTCGATCAACACGATCGCTGAGAAGCAATCTGCAAATTCAAAATGAAACATAGCGTTTGTCAAATGGACGCAAAACTGTGGCTCACGAACACCGATAGCTCTTGACCTCGGTGACTTCGCAGCCGAGAGCCTTGTCAATCTCACATTTGATTTCGTTCCGACGACCCTTGACCTGGCACAGGGAGCGGGCAACCTCGACGAAGTCGTCACCGTAGTCGCCTTGCCGGTCGAGACTCCTGATTTTGTTCTCAGCATCCCAAATCATTTTGTTGGTGCATTTGAGTTCGTCCAGAAGATCGGTGATCTCTGTGTGTCTTGGAACGGAGACGAAGATGATCGCTCGATATTCGGCAAGCGCTTCATTGACGATCTCAAGTTGTTCCTGATCCGAAATCCGCTCACTCTTGATTTCGAGGATAGTAACCCGATCGAAAAAGTCACCCAACGAGATTGGTACGCTAATGGTCATATGTCTTTTGAGCCCGAGCGAAAATGCGCGTATCTCCCTAACGTAAGGAAAGATTCAGGTCGATCGTCAAGCAGATTTCGGATTTTTCCTTAATGCGACGGGAAGAATGCGGTGCATAAATTTGAAGGGGATCACTGACCTGGAGAAACGTTACCGAGCGCCATCGAGTGTATTCGGCAATGACTGAGATCAAGGTTCGGTAATGTGCGGCTGGATGTCGATTGGGTTCAAGGATCTGCCTTTGCGCGGTCAAGCAATTTGTCCTTGATCAGCTGATATCCGTAACCGATGTGAATTCTCTGTATGTAGCCAACCGCTCTGATGTCTTCCTTTTCCAGCGCGACGACAAGATCGGAAGTTTCACTCACAAGAGCTCGCGCTGCCTGTTCGCCGGCGGTCTCCGCCATCTGGTGCCAAAGACTGGCGGCCTGCAGAAAGGTCTGGTTCCAAAGGTCCCGAAGAACAATATTGCCGATCAGCGAACTGATCAGGATCTGCAGGCGTTGATTCAGTTTCACGAATTCCTGGGGGTCAAACCGATCTTGCAGCTCAACGGCCTGAAGATGAAGCGCGCGCGCCTCGGATTGTTGTCCTTGATCAATTGCGGCCGGTGAAAGCTGGCCGATCAGAGAGGCAAGTTCCAACCTGGTTTCATAAAGATGCCGGATCCGTTGAGCGGACATTTCCACGACCACGGTTCCCACGCCATTCCGGGTTTCCACCAGCCCCAGATGGCTGATGCGGCTTAGCGCATCACGCACCGGTGTCCGGCTAACCCCGAATTCCTTTGCCAGCACAGCTTCTTTCAATTGATCTCCCGGCGTGTACTCCAGGAAACAGATCCGTTGAAGGATCGTCTCTTGAATGAGATCCACGGAAGGCTTGCGTATTTCAGTTGTACCGGTTCCGCTAAGGTTGGGATCGTCCATTTGGGATTTTTCTTTTTTCGTTCTCAGTTGAGAACATGAGCCTGAAGGTGTTCTTCCTAACACGATCTCATCAAGGTGCCATAGCCAGCCACCCTGTCTCGAATTCCAAGTAGCCTCAGAATATCCCAGGCCATCGCCTGGTTTGAACAGATGACGGGTTTTTTCAGTGTTTGCTCCAGTTCGTCAACAATATCGAGGGAACGCAACGCGCCACAGCTGATGAAGACTGCCTCCGCATCTGTTGTATCGACGGTTTTTGCAAAATCAGCGATCCGCTCGGGCCTGACTCTCACCATCTCGCTGTCATACCGCAAATTCAGTCCGCAGATCCGGGTCACCTCAAATCCTCTGTCCTGCAGATAGTTCTTCTCCCGGTCGTTGACTTCATCAAGATACGGCGTTGCAACCGCGATCTTTGAAACCTCCAGCGCCTTTAGCGCCCTGATGACCGAAGTGATAAGCGATGTTGGCCGGGCATTCGGTGCTCCTGTCCTGAGCGCATCAACAACCTTGTCTTCTCCCAGGACCAGACTGCCTGAGGTGCACGCATAGCTGACGACGTCCAGACCTGCATCAGGCAAAAGAGTGGACGCGGACCGCGTGAGTTCCCGGGTCAGCGACGAAAGGCAGGCAACCGTGATGTCATCGGCGCTTGAAACACGGGCGAAATGCAGACCGACATCAGCGGGAAACAGGCGGAACATATCGCTTTCGATCGTCTGTTCACTCGACAGAAGCACGAAGCCAACCTTGCCGCGGGTGTGGCGCCCTTCGTCAAACAGATCATCTTTCGCAAAACTCATAGCTGTATACATCTTGCGTAATTATCGGACATAAAGGTATCGTATATTTAAAATTGACGCTATGCTGCATGCATGTCAAAGATTTTCTGAACAAATCTGCGCATTCACGATCGATTTTTGACGAAAGCGGATGAAACCAGGTTCAGGAGGCCTCGCAGAAGATACCGCGATCGAATGGGGGAATGTAGATCCCCGTTGTCACCTGTTCAACGGGAGGGAGGACAGATGCTCGAACAAGCAAAAACGAGAACCGCTCAGCTACAAAGACACATGAAGGACAACGGTGTCCAAAAGGCCGTCTTTACGGATGAAAGCTCGATTGCCTATCTGGCGGGATTCTGGGGGTACCTGGGTATTGAATTCGGACGGCCGACGCTGCTTGTCGTTGATGCCGACGACGAACCGGTGGTCATCACGCCGCTGATGGAATCCGAAATGGTCGCGGAGATGACCTGGGTCACGGATGTCAGGGTCTGGGAGGACATTGGCCAGCGCACATGGGGCCGCGCTCTTGCCGGCGCCCTGGGTGACAAGCCGACCCGGATCTGGATTGAGCGCGGCACTATTCCGGCAAGTGTGCGCAATTACCTGGACGACACCTATCCAGGCGTGGCGCTCAAGGACATTTCTCCGCTGCTCGGTAAATTGCGCATGATCAAGACCCCATTTGAAATCGGCGTCATGAAGGAAGCCGGGCAGATTGCGGGCGCGATGATGACTGCCGCACACGAGTCATTGCGGGAAGGCGCAAGGGAGTATGAATCGGCACTCGCTGTGATCGAGGCCGGTTCCCGCAAGGCAGCCGGTTTTCTGACCGACGAGGGCTGGGATCGCTTCGTGTCGCCGATGATCCACAATCTCCAGATCCTGCAAAGCGGTGCCGAAACATCAATGGTGCATCGCCGGGCCGGCGTCAGGACATACCGGAAATTCGACCCCGTCTATTTCTGCTTCTGCAACATGGCACAGTTCAAGCAATACAAGTTGGGTTTCGACCGGATGTTTCACATCGGCGAGGTGACCGATCAGGCGCGTCACGTGCAGGAAGCGGCGATCGCGGCGCAGCAGGCGGCCATCGCCGCGATCCGGCCGGGCGTACTTGCCCGGGAGATTGCGGCAGCCGCCAATGAAGTCTACCGGGAACGGGGATACCAGACAGGATATCGGACAGGCAGATCGATAGGGGTTGCTTATCTGGAAGCACCTGAACTGAAGGAAGGGGACAATACTGTCCTCAAAGCCGGCATGACCTTTGCCGTGGATGGCGGCATTTCGGTGGATGGTGTCACTGCTGGCCGCATTGGAGACTCCGTCGTCGTCACCGAAAACGGATGCGACTACATCACGGACTATCCGCGAGAAATATTGCTGAGCAAACATTGAAACTGCACCTTCGTGGGAGACGCCAGAGGGCAATTTGGGGGGAAGCGATTCAATGACGGGAACCGATCCCTTTCCGGCGAAAGAACTGGAACATCGAGTTGCTCGCGTTCGCAGTGCGCTGGCTGACAATGATCTCGACGGCATTCTGGTCTCTGTACCGGAAAGCATCTACTGGCTGACAGGTCTCGATCATTGGGGTTTCTTTGCCGCGCATGTTCTGGTTGTCAATCGCAACGGCGAAATGGCCCTTGTTTGTCGCGGCATGGAAAGAATAACTGTCGAAAACCAGGTCCGGAACGCCACCTTTTACGGTCATGGAGATCACGAAGAGCTTTCCGATTACGTGCTTGCCGCCACAGCCGATCTGGGTCTCAAGGGCGGCCGTGTAGGCATCGAAAAACGTAGCTTGTTTCTAACGCCACGCCATGCCGAACTGATCCAGAAAGGATCGGCCCAGTGGGTGGATGCCTCGGGCATCATCGACGAATTACGCCTTATCAAGTCAGCGCGCGAAATACAGTATACGCGCAAGGCAGCACGTGCTGCAGACCTTGGAACATTGGCGGCAATCGAGGCGGCAGGCAACGGCGCGAGCGACTATGAGGTCTCCGCAGCCTTTCACAACAGGATGATCCTGGAGGGCAGCGAATACCCCGGCTTCGGTCCATTCATCCGACCGACAACGCGACTTGGAGAAGAACACACGACCTGGCGAGGAGATGTGTTCAAAAACGGCGATGCGGTGTTTTTGGAAACATGCGCTGCCTATCGAAAATATCAGGCACCGATGGGGCGACTGGTCTATGTCGGCAGCGCTCCCGACGGAATAGAGGCCTCGGTACAACTGGCGATCGACGGCATGAAAGCAATCTGTGGTGCGTTGAAACCGGGTCGCAGGGCAGGGGAAGCATATGCGGCGTGGCGTGAAGTTGCCGTGTCGGCGGGCCTGATGGACTATGAACGGCATCATTGCGGTTACATGGTTGGAATAGGATTTCCGCCCAGTTGGACCGGAGGATCGATGGTTACATCGCTGTTCCCTAATTCGGAAAGAATTCTGGAGCCGGGCATGGTGTTTCACGCACACAGCTGGTTCACGAACACCACGGTCCCAGATTATTTCATCTCCAACACCGTTCTTTTGACAGAAAGTGGCGCAGAGGTCCTCACCACGCAGACGCCGGAAACGCTAATTGTCCGGTAACGGGAAAACCGAGGTGGGACGTCTTGGTTCTGAGTGCCGGAAACCGGGAGACAAAAGTGAAACCGCTTGCGAAAACAACTCTTGAAGCGATCTGCGAACAAATGGCGAGCCATACCTGGTCGGACAGGGAACTGGAAGAACTGGTCGATCCGAAATTGGGTATCATTACTGGTTTCCAGGACCTTCTGGAGGAACTGGACATCTTGCGAAATACGGATCTTGGAACCACGCCGCCTGCACTCGGCGTCCAGAAATCATAAGCTCGATGTCCTCAGAAATTGCCTTCAGTGATGTCCGGTCTCTCAAAAGTCTGCTCGACACCGGCAGGATCACGCCCAACGAGCTTGTTTCGATCTTTTCGGAACGCATCAAGTGCTTCAATGACATCTCGCGGGCATTCATAACAGTGACGGCCGAGGAGGCGGCCAACACGGCTGGTTCCTTGAACAAGGCGGATCTTTCAAAGTCATCGATTGCCGGCATTCCCTATGCCAGCAAGGATCTTTTTGATGTCAAGGACATACGCACGACGGCAGGCTCTCGGGTATTTCAAGACAGGATCGCGACAGAAGACGCTTTTGTGATCGACTGCCTTCGCAGGAAGCATGCAATTGGCTTGGGCAAAACCAACCTCCATGAGTTCGCATATGGCGCAACGGGCGAAAACGAGGTCTATGGCACCTGCGTCAATGCGTATGACCCGACGCGCCTTGCCGGCGGGTCATCCAGTGGTTCCGCTGCGGCCGTCGCATTCGGGATGGTACCCGCAGCACTTGGAACAGACACGGGTGGCTCTGTTCGTGCGCCTGCTGCGCTCAATGGTCTGGTCGGTTTGAAACCGACTATCGGCCGCGTGTCTACACGCGGGGTTGTGCCGTATTGCTGGACACTGGACCACGTCGGCATCATGACCAGAACGGTTGCCGACGGCGCGGATATCCTGGAAATAATCAGCGGATACGACCCGAAAGATCCGGCCTCGGTAAGCCTTCCGGAAGAACCCTATTCTGCGTACCTCGGTGCGGATTTTTCCGGCATACGGATAGGCATCCCGACAAGGTTTTTCTTTGAACGCGCGGACCCCGAAATCCTTGCGGCCCTGGAGCTGGTAAAAGAGCATCTGTCTTCGCGCGGAGCCATGCTGTTACCAGTTACCTTGCCCGACATGGAACATACCCGAACCGTATCGCTGACAGTCCAGATGCCGGAAGCACTGAGCGCGCACTCGGCTTACCTGGAAGAGCACGGCCATCTCTACAGCCGCGATTTTCGGGCCGGTCTTGCACTGGGGCAATGCCTGCTGGCCGAGCACTATGTGAAGGCAAAACGGTTCATAGAATGCTATCGGCAACAGACCAACGCCATCTTTCGCGACGTGGATCTGATCCTGACGCCGGCAACTCCGGAGATTGCGCCTAAGGTCGGAACAGTGAAAACAACCAGGGACGGCGTGTCCGAGGCCGTTGGAAACGCAATCACGCGCTTCACCAGTTTCTTCAACATGACCGGTCATCCGGCCCTCACGATGCCATGTGGCATGCACTCCGATGGATTGCCGATCGGCCTGCAGCTCGTTGGCAGGTACTTTGAGGAAAGAACAATTTTTCAGGTTGCCTCTGATCTTGACAGGACAGAGGCATTCTCAATCCCGTTGCCAAAAACAGACTGCTGAACGGCCGGCCTCGGTTTGTCCCCGCCGGTCTGGCAATCAGATCGCTTCGGAAGATCCAAATCGAATTCCGGTTTCAAACCGGCCGGTAGACCGTTCGACCTCCTGCCGATCTGATTTTTGAAGCTCCGGGAACGCTGGACCCCTGTCATCAGAAATTGTCTTCGAAATTCGAATGCGACGATTTGCGGGTAACAAATCCCGGCTTTGTTCGATTCCGAGGCGACTGTCGCGTCGTTTATGTTATCGAGATCATGTGTGGTTTTTCCATGCAACGAAACATGTATCGGCCAATCGGAACAGAGAGCGAGAAAAAGTGACGAATACGACGATCGCACCAGAGGACCTCCAAAAATCCATATTGCAACATCTGGAAAAATCGCTCGGCAAGGATACACAAAACGCGACGCTCTACGATTGGCGCACATCCTTGTCTCTCGCCTTGCGCGATCTTGTTGTCGACCCCTGGTTTCGATCCACGCGGAAAACCTACGAAGCGGCCGGAAAACGGGTCTACTACCTGTCAATGGAGTTTTTGATCGGAAGATTGCTCGAAGACGTGGCGATCAACCTTGGTGCCGAGGACGCGTCCCGAAAGGCACTGGCGGATCTTGGACTTGAATACGACAAGGTAGTCCGCGATGAACCCGACGCAGCATTGGGCAATGGTGGCCTGGGCCGGCTTGCCGCCTGCTTTCTGGACAGTCTCTCGACACTCGGCATTCCGGCATACGGATATGGCATTCGATACGAACACGGACTTTTCGAACAGCATTTTGAGGACGGCCGGCAAATCGAAGTTGCCGAAGGGTGGCTTGCCCAGCGCCATACCTGGGAATTCGAACGCCCGGAAGTGACATACCGGATTGGCTTCGGCGGACATGTCAACGGAAACTGGGAACCTGCCGAAACAGTCATTGCCAACGCCTATGACACCCCAATTCTTGGCTGGAAGGGAAGGTGGGCCAACACGCTGCGCCTTTGGTCGGCCAAACCGACTGTCCTGTTTGACCTCGGAAGCTTCAACCGTGGTGACCTTGTGGGAGCCGTTGTCCCCGAGGCGCTCGCGCGCGCGATTTCTCGCGTTCTTTATCCAGACGACACGACCGAGGCCGGCAAGGAACTGCGCCTGAAGCAGGAATATTTTTTCACTTCCGCTTCACTGCAGGACATCGTCCGCCGGTTCGGATCGGAAGGCTATGACATCGACACGCTGGCCGATCACGTTGCCATCCAGCTGAATGACACACATCCGGCCATTGCCGGCCCGGAACTGATACGGCTTTTGGCGGATGACCATGGTGTCGAAATGGCCAGAGCGATCGAAATTGCGCGCGACTGTCTTGCCTACACCAATCACACGCTGCTTCCAGAAGCACTCGAACGCTGGGATCTCGGACTGTTTGCCCGGACACTTCCACGGCACCTTCAGATTATCGAGACGATTGAAGCAGATCATCTGTCCAGAACCGGCAGTCATGTGCGCATCATCGAGGATCATTCGGTCAAGATGGGTGAGTTGGCCTTCGTCATGGCCCATTGTGTCAACGGGGTCTCGGCATTGCATTCCGAGCTGGTGAAAAAGACTGTGTTTGCCGACCTCAATCGCGACTATCCCGGCCGCATCATCAATCAGACGAACGGTGTCACCCCGCGGCGGTGGCTCTATAACTGCAACGCACCTCTCAGGGAACTGATCAACCGTACGATCGGTGAGAACTGGGTCGATGACCTGGACCAGCTCAAGAAACTGGAAACGCATGTTTCGGATGCTGGTTTCCTGGAAGACTTCATGGCGGCCAAACAGGCCAACAAGAAACGCCTTGCGAACTGGCTCGGCGAACAGGTCGGGCAGACGGTCGATCCGGCCGCAATGTTCGATATCCAGATCAAGCGCATACACGAATACAAGCGCCAGTTCATGAACATTCTGGAGACAATCGCGCACTGGAATGAAATTCGGGACAACCCGAATGGTGACTGGACGCCCCGGCTAAAGATCTTCGGCGGCAAAGCCGCACCTGGGTATTTTGTCGCCAAGGAGATCATCCACCTGATCAACGACGTCTCCAGGGTGATTAACACCGATCCGGTGACGCGTGACCGGCTCAAGGTGATCTACCCGCC